GAATATGCAATGGTAGGGAGCGCTTGCCGATTGTTCTTACGGACCTCACTCGTTCCGTTGTGCCTTATGGACTCTCTCTCTCTCGAGTCCAACCAGCAGCCTCACAGCGGCGCATGACATAAGCAGTATAGGTTGGGTATGACTGACTGACGACGGCTAATAAGCCAGCAATGGCCATTCCAGTCTCCCTTGTCTTTGTCGGTAATATCATTCTGCGTATATATCATGCGCCGCTGTGCGGCTGCTGGTTGGGCTCGAGAGAGAGCCCGTAAGGCACAACGGAACGAGTGAGTTCCGTAAGGGCGATCGGTGAGCGCCCCCTACTGATGACTTATTAGCTATGTACATTTTCTCTGTCGCTTTTCGGTGTCCTTATACATTCAAAAAATATTTTAAAGAAAACATGAACAGAATTCATTTGGCAACATATCGTGTCTTCTGCAAATTTGGTACTCAAAAGAGATTTCTTTTGATTCTAAAAGATTTTTTATTACGAGGTTTTTAAGACCGTTTAATACCTTTTCTAATAACATCGTATTTATCTGTTTAATGATACTCCTTCTTGGGTAATATAACGCAGTCACATCCGTTATAGCGCCTTACGAGACTCATATCAGAACTTCCTAATAACATAATGCAATGAATGTTTTCTCTTATACGGAAAGCATACAGCTTGTGAACTAATATCTTAAGCAAAAATACTACGGCAGATCGAGTTCGGAATTATTCGGGGGTCACAAAAACGTGTTAACCTAAAAGGTACTCCGTTTTCAAAAAGAAAAATTGAAGAAGACATGATTTGCTACTAAAAGAGCGCAAAAACAACACTTTATGGGACATACTATGAAATATATTTGAACTTACAAGGGACATCGTAAACCGATAAAGACAACACATAGTGCTTAAGTACCCACTTTTCCGAGTGTGGTTTTTGCAGACGGCTTGGGTATGACTGGCTGTGCCCTCAAAACGGGCCACGTGTTAGATGCGCTGGACCAACACGGGGGCCACATCGGACTCTGGCAGGCGTTATCTTTGCGTAATAACAATTGCCAACATTTGCGGAGTGCGCTGACGGACCCTGTTGTCGGCATTCGTCGCACAACTGGATCACTGTCTCCACCCCATTGTTTTGTGGTCAAAATCCTGGTCATTTGTGTGTGGACCAGGGGGTGCGGAGTGGAACGCCAAGGCGAGGATCCGTCCGAGCCATCCACCTGCGGCCTCCCCCGTCTCCGGTCTTCTTGACTTTGTCTTGACACCGGGCCCAGGCGGGGGAGGAGGAGAGAGTGTAGGTAGATGCAGCGCAAGTCTACTGGCACTATAAACCCCTGCGCAAGTCACCGTCCCTGCTCCCACAATGCAGTCTGTGGAGCACACGGTGGACATCGTCGAAATCGACGGTCGAACTGTCGGGTATGACTGGCTGACGACGGCTAATAAGCCAGAAATGACCATTCCAATCTCCTTTGTCTTTGTCAGTATTATCATACTGCCCTTATCATGTGCCGCTGTGCGGCTGCTGGTTGGGCTCCAGAGAGAGCCCGTAAGGCACAATGAAACGAGTGAGTTCCGTAAAAACGATCGATGAGCGCCCCTGTCAATGAATCATTAGTTATGCACATTTTATATGTCCATTTCCGGTGCACTTAAACATTCAAAAATATTCTACAGAAGGCATGAAAATAATTCTTTTTTGTACTGATTTGTCAACAAATCATGTCTTTTTCGATTTTTTTTACTCAAAAGAGCTCTTTTTCGATTCTATAAGTTTTTTTCATTATGAATTTTTTTAAGACCGCGCAATACCCTTTCTAATAACATCGTAGTTTTCTGTTTAATGATGCTCCTCCTTATGTAATATAACATAGTCACATATGTTATAGCGTCTTATGGGACTCATATCATATCTTCTTACTGACATAAAGGTATGCGAGTTTTCTCTCATATGGAAAGCGTACAGCTTGTGAAGCGAAAGCCTAAGCAAAAATGCAACGGCAGGTCGAGTTCAAAAAACCTTGTTAAACTAAAGATACTCCCTCTTTGAAAATAAAACTTCAAGAAGACATGAGTCGTTACTGAAAGAGCGCAAGAAACAACAATTTATGGGGAGTACTATGAAATATATTTGAACTTACAAGGGACATCGTAAACCAATGAAGACAACACATAGTGCTTAAGTAGCCATTTTTTTGCAGACGGGTGGAACAAAATGCATTCAAAAGTCACCATCCTGGCACGTCTGTGATGTTACGGGATTGCCTCGCAAGATACTTAATATTACAGCTCCACTTAATTAATCTTTCCTAATCGAAAACGCATTCCAGAATTTCGAGCAATACCTCATGAAATCGCCCACTGACAGTAAGCTTTCACATAGTCAGCGATGTTGGTTATCACCCACACGAATTGCAGTTGACTCATCTCTGTCTCGCAAGTCTGAGACACAGTGAAAGGGAAATTGTGCAGCCAAAAATTCGACCTAGTCAACAAATTTATCCTGCCTGTCGAAGACCTTCAGATGACCTTCAAAAAAGTCAAGTAATGTAGTCTAACGCCCCTTGACATGAACAGGATTGTTTGGATGCTGTAACACTCTGTGGGCGCGCGGACCTATGTTGGAGATGGCGTAACCACGTGCTGGTGAAGGTGGCCGGTGTCCCTTACTCTCACTTCCGCCTACCACGCTTCCCGCATCGTACCGTAACGTTCGTATCGTTCTCCTCCTCTCTACATCGGCACCTCCCTCGGCCCTTCCCTGCAGTTGCCCACAGCGCTGCGTTCCCCACCGGTTAACTAGTTGACATGTCGGTATCGTCTCTCTACCCAGACAGGTTATTCCATAGTTGTAACTCATCGTGTCTGTACTAGTAACAATTATTATACACATTTACCGTGCCTATCTCGTTATATTATCCTATATCCCTTACTCGACGTACCTTCTTTTCCTGCGTGTGAATGAGTATCAAGAGATGCTAACAGGTCTGTTCAGATTTATCTCCGCCAGGATCTCCTCTCAGCGTTTCCTTACTTTGGTGTGTGCTACCCTTGACGTCCTCGGCCGCTACAATAGGCCGCTACAATAGGCCCCACCCTCTCATGCCAGCAACCATTGGCATGTATGCATCAATGCGACTTGAAATAACATCGTGAGCAGTTCCTGGGGAGGACTTTAATTTTTAACTAACGCGTGCAGGGAAACGCTTAAGATCCATCTCACGAAACGTTAGTCGGGATTCTGAAACGGCTTTCCACCTAAAAGATTACTTAAACAAGGTTGCAGTTGTAATTATCGTACAGCACAATCCAGATGCCGGCTTTTAAATAGGCTACTTTTGGACCGTCTGCAGAAAAAGCCCTCAGAGAAATGTGATTATGCATGTAGCACGAATTTTCCCAGTGTCTTGTTATGGTCTTGGGAATTCAAATACATTTTACAAAAAACATACACACGAATAACCTTTCTCATATCAATTTGGTGGCCCATTAAGTCATGAAATTTTATACTCTGGGGGTGTCTTCCGGTTTGTAAAAGTTCATAACTATGGCATTTTTTTAAAACTGCAAGAGCATCTTCTCTGGCTGCTATTAACTCTAATTTTTAATTGTATAACATAATCCTTAAGCTTAAGCCTGTATGACGTCTTCAAAATAACATAAAAACATATGATACTTTTTTCACGAGAAACATATAGTGTGGAGAATTTAAAAAGCATCTTAAAAACTGTGTATACTTTTTTTGGAGTGCGAAATTTGAAGAAGTAATTTTCATCCAAACAAGTACAAGGGAGCATACTTTAGTGTACGTTAATTACGAAATGTGTTTAAGTCAGAAGTTCATCGAAAATCAATGCAGGAAAATCATACAACATAATTAGTTGTATTCTGTGGGATGTGGTTTTTTTCAGGTGACCTGAAAATAGCTTGTTTAAAAGCTGGTATTTTGACTTGAGATTATCCTGCAAGGCAATCAGTATTAAGACACTACCCAGATCATCCTTTCTAATTGAAATTGTATTTCGGAATTTCGATTAACACTTCAAGAGAAAGGACAGCTACCGTATGCTTGCCAGGGTAGCAGAACCCTTCAGAAGTTCCGTGAGCGAGCTAGCATTCCACTTGAAACGTCTTCCACCTAATTGAAGTTTGACTGATGAACATGGCTCATATCATGGAGCAAGTGCATGTACGACGAATTTGCTTAAGCTGAGCGATTTTAATTGTTCCAAGAAAGCGTGTGTAATCTAAGGTCTAACGTGGCCAGAGAAGAAGTACACATCAACAATATAACTTTATACTTCTAATCTAGAGCACAGGCGGACATAATGATTACGAGGGATAGACTCTGATTTCCGGCAATGCCGGCAAATGACTTCAAACAGAACAGGACAATCATAGTCCCTTATTGAAGTCAAACTGATGATTGTCCCTCCCGCGAAAATTAAGATTTCTGACAACAATTGGCAGGACGCCAAATCCGTAGATTTAATTTTGACCCGCTGAGTTAGTATTCAGTGAAGAAAACGTCACATATGTAGTTCAAGCTCACCGAAACCCAAATAATGAATGCTTGTTAACCGGGAGTGGTTACTCTAGTTTTTGTCAGACCCCCTCGCTTATCGTTTCCATGGAGTGAAGATCCTTATTTATCGATTTTTCTTTTAAAATGCACCATAGGAGTATTCACGGTTGAAATAAACTATCCTTGTACGCGGCAAATAGGCATTCGGTTCTCGAACCGGCATGTCGCGTTCATCATATTTCTTACAAAAACTCATTTCACCTATACAAAACACGAAAGATATAAAAGGCAGACGCCTAGACTTTATCGAAAGTCATCGAAATACTGCGCGCAATAAGGCAGCCACATTGACTAAGCCAATCAAATATATGTGCGGATGAGGTGCAGTTGTTGATTACTGCGCAAACAGGGAAATCGTTACCAGTGTGAACTCGTCTGTGTAAATACTGTGTTGAAAGATGATCGAAGCGCCCTGAAATCAGACAATGGCCTGTTTTGGATGAACCGGCAGGTTCAAGACATTCATGGAGGCACTAAGTGATTTACGTGGGGGCAGCAAGCTGTAAGTCGAGTTAGAAAGCGACGGGTTCAGGAGGTGGAGACTGGCTCGTTTGGACAGCTCCTGTTGATCTAGCCTTTGATTAGGGCCCAGCGCCGTTGGACTAACGCCCCGCATCTGAGCACCCCTCGGATAGACCCTCATTTGTGGTGCCGGAGGACCCTGGGCGCGAATCAGGGGCATATAGAAACTGCCTGATCTAACACTGTACGGCGATCCAACAGAGCTGATCGGGGAGTAAACTTGCTCTCGCGGAACTGGGGGCAGTACCAGCGGACCTGCTTCGGGTGAGTATATATGTGGAGAATCCACTGAGATCCGAGAACCCGTAAGGAAACAATTTCCCGCGGGATTTTGAAGTCCAATGGGCCCCTTTGTGGGCAGGACTGGAGTTGTCGGGAGGGACCTGGATCCGCTTGGTCGAAGGCAGAAGTAGAGGCTGCCGAACACAATGAGTGCTATCAGAATGCCTAGGAAGAGGAGACCAAAACCGATGCAGGCTAGCATCCATCTTGGAGCTCGACGAATGAATCCCACGACGTCTCCTTCATCCTCCTCCTCTGATGACAACGGTGGTGGTGGTGCCCCAGCCAGAGTTTCCATCAGGACACCTGTGGTTGGATAGGCTTCTGTGGATGGAGAGCCTGCGATCGAGTCGCCGGTGGCTAGATTGCGCACACAAATGCGATTTCGCAGCAGGGCCGTTGTTCGACGAATAATCAGCGGCAGCGAAGTCAGCCCAGCGTCTTGAGCAACACACACATCTATGGTGCCTGGAGCGACTGCAGTGTCGCCTGGAAAAGTCACGTGCCGGAGGTTTAGGTGAGCCATGCTTGAAAGCGAGAAAAGTACCAGAGCTAGACTGGAAATTCCGTCGGGGTGGAGGAGAGCGGGATTTCCATCAAGTAGGAGTTCGGACAGTTTTGGAAGACCTCTAAAAGCCTCTGGATCCAACCATTTAAGGTTGTTTCGGGAGATACTCAGCCTACGGAGATCTTGGAGACCACCGGTCTGACTGCAGGAGCCGGACCACTGACATCCGTTTATACTTTCCAGGTGATTATCAGATAGGTCTAAGACTTCAAGACGTGGCGTCGAGGCCAGGGCTGATAGGCTGCCATCCTTGGCTCCGACAGTTTCCTCCAAAGATCCCACCAGTTGATTACCATCCAAGCGCAGGTAACGAAGTTCCGCCAATCCTGAGAGACTGTCAAGGTCAAGGCCAGATAGTCGATTGTTTTGGAGATAGAGATTTTTCAAGTGGCAGTATCTGAACAGGCCTGGTTGTAGTATACCAGACAAGTTATTGTTACTCAGATCAACTGAGGTAAGCAGCTCAGGACAGGGTTCGAGTACTTTGCGGTCCAGGTGTGAAAGCTGCCGACTGCCAGAGATCGTCAGACTCTGAAGACGGGGCACAAAGGCGAAGAGGTGCTTCTCCAGAGTTCGAGTTCGCCTAGAGCGAATGACAAGACGCTCCAGACTGACAAGTGGTTTAAGAATTTCAGGCTGAAGACGCGTCAGGTCGCTGTTCTCCCAGACAGCCAGAACTCGCAACTCGGGGCAGTACTCAAACACCTCGGGATTTAAACTAACTTCCGGATTCTCCGCATTCTCGGAGCTGGGTTCTTTTGACTGCAGATTTATCACCTCAAGGTGCAGTGCATGCCATTCAGGGGAGCAGTGGAGTTTTCTCAAATTTGCATCTATCCAGCACTCTGTGTTCACTTTAGTGCTGTTGAGGACGGGGTGCTCCTTGCACGTGATGCTCGACTGCGGCTCATCGCATAGGCTGCCCTTCAGCAGAAGTAGAAAAACCAAGAGCCAACTCCTCAAAAGATGAGGCAAACAGTCAGCTGAGTGTGACGTAGGCATCCTCAGCGCAAACTGGACTCCGCACTACAGCATGGCACTTCAAAGCACTCAGCTGAGTGAGTGTTTGCATTCGCACAAGTCGCCTCTTGCGGCTTACTCCTCGAGCGCGC